GGTCACTCTTTTGTCTTGTGTTAGTTGAATAAGGTGAAGTTTCTGTCAGCTGTCGTTAATCCTTATCCAATCAATAGGTATATTTACCCTTTCCTATCTTAGGTGATTACTTAATATTTTCATTTCGTATTGAACGTGCCAGAAGTAATATCACACGGCATGATAACTGGTCGAGGAGCCAAGAGTGGAGTATGTGACGGCGAGATACCGTTGACTTCTCTGATTCATGTACCGTAGCACGAGGTTGACGCGGGAATGGGTGTAGCAGAGCGCGTCAATATGGAAATGCTGGCTCTGCATAACATATTGCCAGATGTACTGTTGTTTGATGATAGCATTGATTCTGGTTGAGGGTGGTATAGATGAAAAGAATTACGGTAGCTAGAGATGAACGAGATGCGCAATTCAAGGGTTTTTTTTTAGGCTGTAGAGATCATGTGACTATAATTGGCGGTGATGGTCTTTCCTCAATGCATAAAAAGAATTTTTTGCACTTGAAGGAAGACAACCGCACAGCCATTGAACGTGATTTCCTTTTTAGTACGTGTCATATCAACACAAATCAGATCAGGAGGACTAGACCGAGTCAGGGCGTAAGTCGAACGAAGCTCAGTGTTGTTGAGGAAAAGGAGCAAATCAAAGAAATGTCATGCAGGTAATCAATCGATTGGGCCCATATATACCAAGGCTTTGATTTTGACCAATAAATAAATAAAAACTCCTTCTGGCCGAGTGATACTGATACAACACAGACTAAGTCTCGCATCAGTCAAATTGTTTTCTCGGGAATGATACAAAAAAATGCTTATTTTGATCTCATTCTTGAAAAAAGGAACTAGCCAAATTGCGGTTACATCAAAGTAATGCTCATAGTATATAGGCTCGGTGCCATCCTGTCTGCAAAGCGGCAAGCCACCAATCACCGTTCCATAAATGGAAGGCGGGCTCTCTACTTTGCAGACAGGCTGGTCTCAAATCGAAATTTTTTGAGGGAGCGCTCAAAAAGGAAAGGTTATATTTTTAAAATAGTAAACTCAATTCAATCGAAGAACTTCAAGAACAAAGCCTCATGTTCAAGCGCGCGGATTGAATTGGTTTGCTATTCTAATTGAGAAAATATAACCTTTCCTTTTTGAGCGCTCCCTCAAAAAATTTCGATATGAGACCAGCCTGTCTGCAAAGTAGAGAGCCCGCCTTCCATTTATGGAACGGTGATTGGTGGCTTGCCGCTTTGCAGACAGGATGGCACCGAGCCTACATAGTATATATATATATATATATATATGTATTTAATATGTTCTTTTATTTGATTTTTTGAGGGGTTGGTGCGGGAAACTGGGTGTTTGCCGAGTTGGCGTGTTGGGTTTTCCTCGGTCAACTCAGCATGATTGTTTCGTCTCTCCTTTGACAAACAAGGCCAATTTTATGCTTGCTTGTTGTGGTGTTCTTGCGGACTAATCGTATATAGAACTATACACAAACACCGATAAAAATAAAAAATAAAAAGAAAAAAAGAAGGGTCCCGGTACAATCTTCGACTAGTGATGAGATGTATTCAACTATTCTGTCTTGTCGCCTCCTATCTCAATTACTATGTCACTGCGCTTATCACAGCAAATACGTACCGAGTTTTACACTTACTTTAACCTGCCTTTGCTCCAACAGTATTGAGGTTTATGGATGAGGAAGCCAGGAATTGAGGATAGCAATTGATCAACTCTCTGTTTGTTCCAAAATTCGGCTTCCCGACACTTTGTTTTGGATACAGTGAAAAATAGATACACAAGCTTTCTTTCAAACTCTAAGAAAGGTTTGAATGGATAAATAGAATTTTGCACCTGAACCGATGCCTATAGGACCAGACAAATTGCTACTTTTTGAAGTCCAAAAAATTTCAAGCGCATTAAAAAAAGAGAGAATTCACCTGAATATAGTGACTAGCATGACTTCAATAGCATATAGACTATGAGGAATAGAGGCCACCTAAGTGCTTTTCTATAACTTCTTTGTAGCATAAATCATGTACACGATATTATTAATAACGTTAGTTTTTAATTGTCCATGACTTGTTATATTCATGTATTTGACTAGATTGGACATCCACCTATTATTTCTTCCTTTCTTTTTTCCTTTCTTTTGTTCATTTTTTCATCCGCTCACCTTTACTTCGTGGAGCGATTCTCAAGTTTTGCTCAGTCATTTGGGGAAATAGTCTATAGTTAAGCACTGTGACCTGTTTTTCCGTTTTATGCTTAACAGACAGCCTGTCAATTGCTATTACAGTTTTTCTTTTTAGACTGGGACATGTAATAGAAATCTAGGCCTGCACTATGCTATCATAGCGCTCTGCCCCTTCATGCTTTTTTTCCTTTTTGCTTTTTTTTATGTACGCCCCGTCCGATTTGGGTAGTAATTCATTTGTATTTTGAGTCAATTTGCAAGCCCACCGCGGACAGTGGAAATGTAAAAAGTTAGCCACCAAATCAATTCAATCAGTGATTTTGATTAAAAGTATACAACTTACTAATCTTACGAAACTCCGAAATGTATTGCTATCGAATTGACCGACAATATTATGATATACTCCATCTCGTTTGGTCAGTGATTCTTTTATTTCCTATTCAAAAAATGATGGTTGAATTGCTTTGGTGGCTGATTTTGATATTTCACCGCCCGCGATGAGCTTGTAACAAGGGAAATGATTGGCTCTCAATACATTCAAGACTATTCAAAAAACATAGCACTCATCAAACGAGCTGGACAGCAAATATATACATATTGGTACCAGGTTTTATAAATATATTCTAATAGTCTGGTCGTTATCAGCATCCTATCCGCAAAACGCGCCAGTATGAGCGGGAGCCCGTTTCCTACAAAATTTGTAAAAGATCTCGCTTCCTACTTGGCCTATTGTGGAAATATCATCTAGCCGCAGTCTTCAGTCACCAAAAAATGACATACTCCAAATTGTTGGCTCGCATTACTGCTAATAGCTCCATGCAATACTTTGGCCATCTTCCGCCTTGATCGCTTCCAGATTGATTTTCGCTGGTGTACCAGAGGTAGTGTGGCCTATTCTGGTACTATTCGGTGGTATTTGGTGGACGTATTAAAATTCCGATGACCCAATTAACCTTACGGACGAGGATATATAAAGCGTACCAGAAGCCAGCAGGCGGTAACCTACGTCTCTATAAGAATAAACATTGTAGTGTAAATACACCGCTTTGGCATCAGTTGTACGTGTCATCTTAGGATTTGTCATATTCCTGCTGCGAATGTCTTCCGCGTGATTCGTCTCAAATTTAACTTAATTTTAGCAGATACTTGCATTTATGGAACGGCAAGAGAAACAACGCAACTAGATGCACATGATTCAGCAGCGAAACTTCTCGTGCCTCAATAAGTCAGGAACGGTCATTTTCTCAAGGAAGACGATATGTATATATATAATAGAGGGAAAATCCGCCCGCTACTAGCGACCATTGAGGCGGTGTTTCAAGTTGTCCTGAAACAAGACAACAGCATATGAAAATGATACAACTAAGACAATGTTTAAAATGCTATGTTTATGTTGGGCTGCTGACGCTGTCATTCTAGAAACAATCTGGGCCAACCATTTTATCTCAAAATAAGGCAGTTCCTGTCCACGTAAATAATACATCCAATCAGTATAGAAATATATAATATACATTTATACATGTAGTCGATGCTTTGTTTTGACAAATCCACCGTTCGCTTATTTTCGCACAATCCCTCAATGCGTGTCTTCTCTGTTCGTATCTGGTATGCATGATTCTTTTTTAGAAAATGCAATGGGAGAAGGAAAAAAAAACGTAGCACTTGGAGCGTCTCCCGTGTCTGTTATGATCAAATGGTGCTGAAGAATGAAATTTTTGTTGTTTATAATGATGATGGTGTTGTTATCCCTCCATGTATGGCCATTCCGCGACATAGGCAGTATATATATGCAATATATATATATACAATACACTTTCTATGTATACCTTGTCTATCTATCATCCCGGAAGGTGTCTCCTATGGGGGAATCCTCCTTTATCTTATGGCCGTAGCTCGAGATTCATTTTATGACCCAAAAATTCCCTGCTTTCCAGGAGTTATTTTCTCCGCTTGAAATTCCATCAAATCAGATCTGTTCTCTTGTCTCGGCAGTGTTTTTTTTTTTTTTTTTTTTTTGAAAGCTTTCACGGATAGTCAGAAAGCTTTCGTGCGTGCTGATTGGTACTGCCTCTTCTGCGTGGTATGAGGTCACGCTTCATCAAATCGTACTATTGGCAGTGAATGCTCATTGAAATGGTGGGGTGGGAAACGCGTCATTTTTTTTTATGCTTGCAGATGCACATGTACTTCATGGCACATCGCATGATTATCAACAAACAATTGAGTTAAAAAATAAATGCAACCTTTGGATCGCTTCAATTGGGTCATCGCAAGCACACAGTGCCCAAATGCCCAAAAAAAAAGACTCATATAAATATATAAAAATACTGATGATAACTGGCAGTTTCCTTCAGTTTAGTATAGAACTAAATAGACACGCAGAGCCTTTACCCAATAGGTCTAGTAAAGTTAGAATAAGGAGAGCATAAATCTTGGTCGCACGATCGCGGATGGTTTTTTATTTGTTTATTTGTTTGTTTAAATGTAATGTATTGTACATGTACTGTAGGTAGACATATTTATACAAGCTCCGTAAGGCGATTGCCAGCCCTTGATAGGATAGACGAAAGAACGTCCATAGTTTTAAAAATGGAGCCTCACCTTATAATAAACAAGTCTGCATATTTATGCTTGTGCAAAAATCTTCGAACCCAATTTTCTTTTATTTTTTATCCGCATTTGCTCCTTAAAAGTGTTGAGCTTATGTATTACGCTTATCACGACAGAGCCATAATATATTATACCTCTAATGATAACAATAAGAAGGTGAAGCAAAAGCACTTAAGAACCATATGTTTAATGGATTTTCTGTCTAGTAATTAAAGCAACAACCCCAGCTTTCGTTGACGAAGTCGTTTTTTCTTCTTCTTGAACGCACCCGCAACTGTTACCCACAGTGCCATCTCATAACCTTCCATCTTGTATAGTCCACAAAAGCGGTCTACTTTCTCTTTCAAGTCGTCCCTCTAATTGGACAAAATAATAAAACACGCAGTAAGCTAATTGCTAAAGCATTCGATTGGTGTAGTTAAGAAAAAGGAAAGAAAAAGCGCCTTATCTAAGCCCATGGCATTTACCTCATTAATACGAATCTCTTGTCGACCAAATTCCCATGTTTCCACTACAACGCTGAGAGTGAATGACTCCTTGGCTTTGGCTTTGGCTTTGGCTTTAGCTCTGCCCTTCGTTTCCATTATAGTAATGCTTTCCTGCTCAATATAGCCTTTAATATCCTGTAAGCCTTGCTCCTCTTTTCCTGTCAATGTTTCTTGTTTTCCCGCCAATGCCTCTTGTTTTCCCGTCAATGTCTCTTGTTCTTTCTTGTGGTCAGCTTCAGTCACCTGAGATTGTTCTGAATTCCTTTTCGCGATTTGGCTCAACCATTCATGAGGACTTCCCAAGTCAAGTAGCGAGTCAAGGATTGATTCTGATATCTGTAGAGGCTGGGTGGTCGAGTGAGTGGGTGATAGTGGGGGTGAGGGTGTTAAGTCCACAAGAATGCCGACATTACAAAGGCTCACCCCATCTTTTGGTACATCTATAGTGCTTGTATCAGGAGCTCCCTTCCCTCCGCTTGAGCTTTCGGATGGGCTTTCGGATTTGGCGGGGCGTTGGAAATTCAGGTATGCAAGTGAATCCACTGAGCCAGTATCCTGTATTGCCAAATCACTATCATCTTGTGTCGCTAGCGCTAGACCATTATCATTCTGCTTTTTGGACTCAACTTCCCTATCTCCATCATCCTCATCATCCTCATCATCCTCATCAGGGTAATATTTTGCCTCCCACAGCGCACGTCCCCAGTCATCAGGATCCGTGGGGATTATTGGTGGTTCTTTCAAGCGTGGACTTGATTCGCTATCCTTGTCAGCAGGACTTCCGCTCCGATCATCAGACATTACTCGCTCTTCTTCTAAATCACCATTCAATATCCTTCTTGGTTTTCTCCAAACACTTTCCTCAACAAACCCATCCTCGTCGAAATTGTATGACTCATGTGAATCCTGTGAATCCTGTGAATCCTGTGAATCCTGTGAATCCTGTGGAAAATAGTCGTCTTCGTCAGAATTTTCAAGACTATAGCCTGGAGAAGAGACGAGCCCATGTTCATTTTGCTGATTATGGCTTATTCTCGTATCCGTTGAGTGGTTCAAGAGTACCCACTCACCATTTCGCATGCCCCAAAACTCACGCTGGCTTTGCTCGATCAACACATCACTGATATATTGATCCCCATTGTAGGTCATGACAGGGTTAGGCTCACTTCCCCAGTTGTCGCCATCATTCTCGCGTGCATTACTAGGCCCGGCCTCTGTGAAAAACGCATGAGCACGCTTTGTGCGTGGCCGAATGATGTCATATACAGAAGGGGTCGCCCAATAGCTCGTCAGCTCATCGAGTGGCTCCGGTTCCTCCTCCTCCACTTCTCTCATTTGACGGCCGGGATGCCTGTAACCCTCTGCTGCAGACCAGGGTCCGTGAGTATCTACTCCCCATGCATTATCGGTATCGATCTGTACCGACCGCTCTTGACGAGGATCGTTCCAGATGTCGTCCTCTTTTTGCTGGCTCCAATTGTATCCTTCCTGATCGCCTTCTGAATTGACATCACTACCGTTTGGCCAATTCCTTGAGCTAATGGCGTGTCGACTTGTATTATGTCGTGTGGTATCTTTATGTGGATATCGCCTTTCTCCAGCTTCCCGTGCCATAGCGTCCAAATCACATTCAAACCCCCAGCCCTCACCCTGTTGCGATATCATACTGCTTTACAATGGAATTTCCCCCACCTTGCTGTCTGTTATTTCTAAAGTAATAAAAGCAAGAAAATGGAGTGGAAGTGGAGGGGGTAAAGAAAATGTTATAGGTTTAGAATGAACGCTCTTTTACTAACAACAACTGAATCAATCTTTTTCCTTAAAAAATTACAAATACTTGTCGTTGTCTGGCTGTAATGAGCGAATGAACAGATGAACGTGCTTGAACAAATAGAGTGTTAATTGTCTATTTGAGTTAAATGGTAAATTCGTGAGTCCTGAATGTATTTTTGTTTGAATGGCAATGTCTTGCTGGTTTAGAGAAAAATAAACCTGGTGTAAAAAAAAGGATAACAATAACACAAAGCAGTCCAGAATAATGTGCATGAATGTCACCAGAACAGGGTCTCTTTTAAACTTTTTTTAACACGAATATGGAATATGCTACGACATACATTTCACCCAATATGTTTTTATGATGTTTTCCTTTTATATTACGTTTGACACTGTGTGTTGTCATAGAGTTTACAATAAGCTTCATCTTTATTGCAGCATTACACCTCGTCAGTATTGCAAAGGAAAAGCCTTTTCAAGACAGAAAAGGAGATAGACACCATTGTACATTAACAGGAATGGTAAATACATCAATGCTTAATAGAAGAGATAGGCTCTATCCAACTATTGTGAGATGTGTGAGAGCAAGTTCTTTTAGCAACAAGGGTCAAACGTAGTGGCAGTGCAGCGCTGTGATCAGAAACGATTGCAAAAAAAACTTGTGCCGTAAAGTTGATCCTACTTGTCAGGGATCATTAAGTTATGGTTTCAGGATGCAAAAAGAAGAGGTTCATGAAGCTATTCAAAAAAAAAAAAAAAAAAAAAAAAAAATTTGTGAAGGGAAGAGATAAAATAATGTTTTTGTGACCCGTCAAATAGTGACCACGCTGCGCCTCTCTCTGCACGCGCCTTGACTCATCGTAAATCTTTTTTTTTTTTGTTTTTACGCATGTTTCCTTACTTCATCTCTTTCACTTGACTTTGTAATCTACATTCCATTTTTTATCAACAACAACGGCAAAAAAATTTTTTTTTACTGCAGCTAAATTTCAACTAACATAAAACTTAACCAGCCCAAGGAATACGATCATGGGTCAAACTCTTTCAACACCGATCACTGAGAAGCACTCGACCTCGGGTCAGGACAAGCGCTTCGCCTATGGCGCCTCTGCTATGCAAGGATGGCGAATCAGTATCAACCACATAATTGTGTCTATTTCATTCATCTTTACTTTTTTTTTTTGCATGATGGACGGGATAATGCCTTGTCCTGTCGTTATTTTATTTTTTTATTTTATTTTATTTTTTTTGCAAAGAACACATAAGAGGTCTATCTTATTTTGCAATCCTAATCAATGATGCTCGGACGCGTGGCCTAGGGCTTTATCGCTCCACCTCTGATGTTATTACCGCTATTACTTTTGCTATTACTGCTGTTATTGCTATTGCTATTGCCTTTTTTTTTTTTTTTTTTTTGCTGTTGTTAATTTATTTGCTATTACCGTTTATGCTATCGCCTCTCAAATACGCCAATCTACGCTCGTCGCGTACTATAATATCCTTGACTCTTTGCCACCTATGCTTTTCTATCTTTTTTTTTCTCGTTTTTCTTACTCTATTTACTAATAGCTATGGAAGGTATGGATTGGACGACTACTGTACATGCAAGGCGTGATCACATTTCTCCTGTCTCGTATCCCTCTCCTAACCAATCTGTTATTTTTATTTTTCCCTCTCACTCTGAAAAAAAAAAAAAAAAAAAAAAAAAGATGCGCATACGACCCTACTCGAAGTAGAGAATGCTGAAGGAGTTGCCTTCTTTGCAGTTTATGACGGCCATGGAGGTATATCTCACCAGACTAAGAAAGTGAATTTATAAATCATATATATCATGGATAGCAGTCTTTCAGCTATACTGACTCGACAACCATTATGGATTTATGGACGCATTTCGATCAATCCTTAGGTCCTAACGTTGCCAAGTTTAGTGGCGAAGGACTGCACAAGAAAATTGTTGGAGACAAAGCGTTTGCCAAGGGGGATTACGTGGCGGCAATTAAGAATGGATTCTTGGAGATGGATAGAGCCCTTCGTTATGGTATGTGCTATTATGTCAAAAAGCGTTTATATTTGGGCATGTTGCAAATATGAATAGCATACCAGTTGTTAAGGCAGACTTTTGAAGAATCATGGAGCTGGGGTCTCTAACATCGCTCATTTATACTTCATTTACCAGATCCTGAGTATGGCGGAGACTCGTCTGGATGCACGGCCATCACCGCAACATTCACTGATAAAAATGTTCTCTATGTGGTAAGCATTGCCTCTTTTATTTCCCTCTCAATCGTGACCGAATAATGACGTGATCGATATGGATGCAGACTGGACATGTCAAGTGCGGCTATTGCTTGGAAAAATGATCACTTTTGTGTATTAATTGATCGTGTGTTCATCATTTAGGGCAATGCTGGTGATTCTCGTGCTGTACTCGGAACTGATGGAGCAGCCATTGCTTTATCTCACGATCACAAGCCTGTCAATAAAGGTACGGCCTAAATGAAACATCGAACAATTTTAGGAATATTTCAAATCCAAATTGTCCCTACAAATTCCTTTCTTGTCTCTTATTAACAACGTAATTTGTGCTAATAGAGGAGTCAAGGCGTATTGTTGCTGCAGGAGGGTTTGTAGAGTATGGCCGAGTTAACGGCAGTCTTGCCTTGTCTCGTGCCTTGGGCGACTTTGAGTTTAAGACGAATGCTACGCTCGGACCAGATGATCAAATTGTGACAGGTATGTCTCCTATTCAATATATTAGTGCCATACACCATGAGACGATGAGGCATTTTTAAATACTCAACTGACGACATCCCTGGTCCTTAAAAAAAAGCAAACCCCGTGATTGTGGAGCATAAGCTGACAGATGACGACGAATTCTTGATCCTGGCTTGCGATGGTGAGTGCAGTTGGACACTGGACTGAACGCTTACTTTGATAGTAATTTTTGCATCATGGTAAATAGCTGTCGAAACATAACATTCTTTTATCACATGATATCGTAATATAGGGATTTGGGATTGCATGACATCTCAGGAGGTAGTGACATTTGTCCGTAAGGGAATTGCTGACAATATCCCCTTAGATAAATTGTGTGAAATGACAATGGATAACTGCTTGGCATCAGACACCGGTATGGCTGGAGTTGGCTGCGATAACATGACCATGGTAATTGTGGCATTTTTAAACGGACGAACGTTGGAGGATTGGTATGAACATATTGCAAGACGCGTAGCAGTACGTCTAGGACCCGCGGATTCGAAACTCCGTCCTAATGGCGATGAGGATCCGGAGACATTCAAAGAAACGCTGGCAGAATACGAAAGACAAGAAGTGCTGTCTACCAATGCCGATGGAACACCCAAAGCTAATGATGTTCAAGAGTTACCTGAATCCGAGTCTGTCACTGAGACCAAGGAAGCCAAGGAAACTATGGATATAAATGAATTGAAGGAAGCAAATGAACTCAAAGAAAGCAATGAGCCGAAAGTGGAGGAAAAACAGGAGACAATGGAGCCATCACCAGTCAAGCCGGGCAAATAAGAGGCTATTGCTTAGTACTGTATAGCGTGGTGGTGTGCCCAACCAAGTCTATCCTTTTTTTTATTTTTATTTCTCTTGCAGATTCTCCAAGCCTTTTCATCGCTCTCCACACTTTCCTTCTCTCTTTATTGTTTCGTTTTTCATACTTCATTCTTGTTCCCTTCCTTTTCTTTCCTTTTCTTATGCTATTTATACACTCTTACAATTCATACGGTCAGCATCGGCCTTTCTTTTCCAGGTGGACAATTGCTGCATTAAAGGAAAAATATAAAGAAAATCGAGGGCTGCAAGGCTGATCTGAGCTCAGTTGAACATGTATAGTTTGTCAATTTTGGTCAGGCTCCATGGACGCAAAAAAAAGAGAAAAAATGGGATGTCCGATCACTTTCACATTGTCAGAAGTACTATTCAACTCCGCAGTTGCCGGAGCTTTATTATCTGTGCAACGATCGCTTCGTCTTAAAAAAGACCATCGTGATACATGTACTTGGTATCGCTTCTCTTCCTTCTATCCTTCTATCACCTATACACACCTTCATTGTTTACCATTATCTCTAATGGCTCTTCCCTTTGTTCGTAAACTCGCCAACCTCGATCGATACAGCCTCGCAAGAGCCAATGCTGGGATCTACTTTAATGTCGTCGTTGGCACACGACTCCGACTGCAATCAGACCCAAATTCCTCGGCTACCGCGCCATTAAAAATACCAACAGAAACCGCCCAGTGGGTTGAGTTGTTGGCTGGGCCTTTGACTTGGTTAATTCAGAAGCATCCAACTTTGTCTGTGGTAGTAGGAGATCATCTCGGTGGTGAACCCAAGTTTTTACGCATGCCTACGGTTGACATTACTCGAATCATTCGGGTGACATCCATTCAGCATCGGAACGACATCACACAGGTCCTCGAGCGAGAGCATTCGTTACCTTTTGATTTGCTTGACACTCAAGTTCCGTTGTGGCGTATAATAGTGGTGCATGTTCAGGCCGATGATACATTTTTCTTGCTACATGTTTACTTGCATGTGATTGGCGATGGACGCTCTGGCATGGGACTCACACAGCAGTTAGTTGAACGGCTGAATCTTCAAGTACAAGAGCAAGCACAAACCCAAGTTAAGACACCATTATCAACTGTAGTGGTTGCACCCACTGCTCCATTACCTCCACCTCTGGAGGAACGTGTCCGTTGTAGTCCAGGTGTGATAACTTTGGCTAAGGCCTTCACGACAGGGCTTTTGCTCCCGGCATCTGTCAAGAAGGCTATCGAACCGAAATACTGGGGTGGTGAATGTGATGCCACACTTGAAGGTCCTGTCATTACCCAGATGGCTATCTGGTATCTGACCAGAGAAGAAACTAAGCAATTGATACAAGTTGCAAAGACTCGCAAGACCACCGTTCAATCTATCCTTTACAGTGCATCTTGTTTTGCGATGAAGGCAGTTTATCTATCTCATTTAGAAAACGAACATGAACCAAAGACTAGTAAAGACAAGATAGTGTTTGCAACCCCAGTCTCTCTTCGTCCACTCCTCTCCCCTCCAATTTCTGCCGAAGTTCAAGGCAATTTCGTCTCAGAGATCATGACCAAGGGTATTCATGTGAAATTGGATACAGAATTCTGGGATCTGACCAATGCGTACCGCGATCAGGTCGTCAAGGCTACATCCACCAAAAAGGGTGTCCAGGATCTTTTGGAACATACAGGTCTATTGGAGTATCTTCCTAATCATCCAGGTGGATGGGAAGATTTTGTGCGTGATTACACTGTCAAAGAGCTACATGGTCGACTGGCAACTATCAAACTATCTAATCTTGGCAAAGGATGGGATCAATCCACCTCTGCACCAGCATCGATATCTAAAGAATCATCATCGCCAGAATCCACTTCAGCCTCTTCTACAGTAGTGTACAAAATTGAAGATGCAGTATTTTCACAGTCGAGCTGCATTACCTGCTCTGCAGTCACGCTCAATGCCGCCACAGCAAATGGTGTTTTGTCCATGACATGCGTCTGGCATAAACAGACTTTCAAGGACCGTGAGCAAGTAGAATTGTTCATGAAGGAATTCAAGCGCATGGTGCTGCAAGCCATCGAACCAGAGAGAAAAGAATATCTCTTCCGAGACGCCCTTCTTTCTTCTGCTATTACTTCTGCAGGCGCTAATGCATCAGCTTCCAGCGTTGATAGTTGCAACAAGTAAAAAAAACTCTTTTCTTTCTTTTCCTATAACTCTAATTGTAATCCCATTAATTTAGTTAACAGATCTATTCTTTTCGTGGATGGATATCTAATGCTGATTTATTTCAATAAAGAAAATTTCTGTAGATTTTCAAAACGTAAATCTTGGAATCTTCACCTACCCATCAACATTTTAAGGCTGTTTTTAAGAGAAAAATCTCATTTTCTACCTTTACGTCTGTCTTACCATTTAATTCAATGCCATCGAAAACTTGACAGTAGATAAATAGATCAGCTAGATACACGCTCCTTGGTGGAGTCTCCTCTCCCTAGCATTGTATTCATCACCAAGCTCAAAACCTTCAGTAACATTACATGCGCCACATGAGTCCAACGTCTGAACACAGCCTTTTTTTTTTTTTTTTTTTTTTTGATAACAAGGACCCGCAGGGTCATGGGATCCATTTTCTACACTATGAAGAAGATGCTCCAGAAACTATAGTCAATAAACAGTTATTAGTGCACAAACGGCTAGAGCCGCTGAATCCATGATTTCATGAACCCTGACCACCGTGGTTAGTACTCAAAGCCCATATTTCCGACGTGGCCTGTTGCGCAACGCGACAAATTATCCACTATCCATAGTCATCAAAAACTTCATCCCACCTAGTCGCTCTATCACGTCCAGTTTAGTTTTCCTAAGTAGTTGTCCCGAACTCGAAAGGATGAAGTTATTTGCATTGCCCTCGTACACACTGCTTCCCCCGTGCAAATATTTTTTTATTTATTTGCACGGGGTCTTTATTTCATCTACAAGCAGCAACGTGTATCCTACAGATTATATGATTTTAGCTTTTTATTTCGAAGGAAATAAGCGAAGGTGAGTCTAGAGTAGAGAGGAGTCTGGAGTTATTACTGTTGGAACTTGCAGCGCCGTGGGGGCTGCGATACTCATCGCGCTCTGTTGCATATTCCACAGTATGCAATATTATGATAGAAAAAAAATTAGGGTAAAAAACACTAATGCGCTAAAAAGGTTAGCAGTAGAAATTAGTGGCAATAACCCGCCACACATAGACGTGATAAATCTTTGACATGAAGTTTTTAGAACAAACTTGTGTCATCCTACAGATAGATTCGTAGTTACCTGGTATAAGTCCCTCTATCAGAAAATGAATAAATACCCCATGGGTGTGTGGACCTATATCTTATTCTCACATACTTTTCTACTGCTTACTATCTATCTACAAAATATTTTTCAGGCTCTATTCCGCTCTACAGTCACCCGAAAGAAAGTCTATTATTTTTATTTTGAGTCTCTAACAAACATCTCATTTGTGACATACAAAAATACTTCACCAACCAAGATGGAAATTTGCGCTTTTATTAATGAGGCCAATGTGGATAATTACTGAAGTTTGTGGGCAGTACATGCTGAGGGAAAATGGCAAGAAATAGGATTGAAGACAGTGCTTCTCTTCATAACCATTTCAAAATTTTATTTTTTTGACCAAACTTTCTATCAGGTGATTGTACAATATGAAGCTAGTCCCTAGACGCAGTGAGCATCTACATGTGCTGCTGAGTATGCGACACTACGTGCTAAAGACGACCCAAGGCAAGTTTTGCCTATTATTGATGAAAAATCAGCCCTGATTGAACATGATAACAAACTTGGAATGTAATGAGACAAAACTAAGGATCTTTATCAACGTAACAGAAAAGAGTATTTATGTCTCTTTTCTATCACTATTAGTCACGGTTATGCTATTAAAGTATTTTAGCTATTTAGATATAGGGATATAGGTAATTGTGGCAAGATTGGCTTTGAGTGCGAACTGTCACCAACTATCAAAAGATAAGTAATCTCTCGGGTTACAAGCGGGTGAGAGGATAGACATTCCACAAAATAAACTGAAGTCTACCCATTGTATTTTGGTGAATTTGATAAATAAAATTTAGTACCGAGGGCGCTTGAGCTCTTAATAAAGAAGGACAGAGATAAAGATATAGAAGAAAGAGAAAAGAAAGAGAGTAGCAACACGGCACGCTATGCATCGTAGCAAAGAATATGTTTGTATATCTACCGAAACAAACTACATATTAGAGGTCCCTAATTACTAAAATCATCGCTATGTGCTTAATAGCATACGGAAACACTAGAGATGTATGCACGCGCTAAATGAAAGAAAGCATCAGGGAACCATCCACAACCTATAAGAATACGACCAACAAAGGTGCAAGGTAAAGCGGCATATAGATAAATCGTTTGTAATTCTTTATTTAGTCCCAGAATCGCATAAAGAATATCAACATCTATTCTGGGCTACGTACGACCTCGATAAGATAAATATTCTAGTCAATATTACAGTGATCGAAGCTGGAAGCGAAGCAGCAGCGATTTTTGAGAACAAGCACGTGCGGGTTAAATTTTTCAGTATGCTGCTTCATTTTTCCAGCGTGCTGATTCATTTTTCCAGCATGCTTGTTAAAATAAGGTTTCAGCCTGTTGACCAAGTGCTCTGCCATCCATACACTGCTACCTCAGACATCATTCATCATTTATTCTTGCATCAATAAAAGATTGATTACACACAGCTACAGAATGGAGAATGCACATTCAAACACATTGGTAGTATATCAGCCTTGTATAGCCCGTTTCATTTGGTCAGGATACCTTATATTTTTTAAATTGATTGAATAGACTCCAGCGAAAATTGAATTGTATTGAATAGCAACTCTAAATCTGATGTCGTTCGCTACTTGCAAGCTTGGCTCGCTGTCCTCTATTTGCACGTCGAGCGGCGGAAGAGGTTAGTGGCTTTGACGTTGAATAACTGTTATGCGTCATCATGTTTTGCTTCCGCTTCCGCTTCCGCTTCCGCTTCCTTGCCTTCACTCTTAGCTCTCACGCAACGCAATCAAACATGATGATCGTCAAATTCACAGAGTTCCATCAAGTAAGTAGTAAACATTATCTTTTTTTATCATTTAGCCGCGCTTCCTAATTATCTGTGAGTAATCTCTGGTTTCTTACAATGAATAGACGCGGACTTTTTCGATCCAATGAGAACATCGCAGCTTCCTTCTCCCTTTTCTTTTCTTTTCTTTGACCTCGAAGGTCGTTACAAGGAGATGCCAGATGTTCTGCTGATTCGAACCGGCCACTGTACTAGTGGGGAAGCTTTTGAACAGGCCTTTGGTCTTGTGCAAAAGTTTCAGCCCCCCGGTAATTAAGAGTCTGTCAAGCATCTGAATCTTTCTTTTTCTTTTTTTTTATTCTTTTCTTTGACCTTGAAGGTCGTTACAAGGAGACACCAGATGTTCTGCTGATTCGAACTGGCCACTACCCATAGTGGGGAAAGCTTTGAGCAGGTCTTTGGCCTTGTTCAAAAATTTCAGCCCCCCGGTTTTAAAAAGATTCTGTCAAGCATCTGAGTCTTTTTTATTTTTTTTTTATTCTTTCATTCTGACCTTGGAGGTCGTTATGAGGAGACGCCAGACATCCCACTGATTCGTTAACTGCCCACTATTTATAGTGATGGAAACTCCTGGTCTTTGACCTGGTTTCAGCAACCCAGTCGTATCGAATCTCAAGGATACTGGCTCTTTTCTTTTTCTTTCTTTTTTTTTTTCTATTTTTTTTTTCCCCTCCAAGACATGGTTCCGCCTTGGTTCTTGCTATCTCCTGCCAGCTCGCCAGGTCTGATCACAAGTTGCCGTCTGTTCTCCGTCGCGGAAAATGGATAATATGATTATTTTTTTGCATGGTATTACAAACGCAAGGCCTTTTTCAAATACAACATGCAACTCGACATCGAGACCAATTTTAACCATCATATATACTCTGAAGTAATATTAGGCCAACCAAGATTTTACCCATTCGCACACTCGGATTCTTAGCAGCTGTCGGGCCGCGGTTTTTGTCGAGGCGTGGATGAGGATATCGTGGGCAAGATTCTCAACGATGTTTATATTTCGTTGGAATAACAAAAAGCATCAAGCATTAAACTCGAATAGCACAACAAGGATCGTTAGAGAATAAAGGTGCATACAATAATATTGTGTATAAATATCAATAGTTAAGCCGGACTAGGCTCTGCTATTTGTGTCAACTACTGTAGTTGTGAGATACACTATCATGCAAAACTGATTCAATAATTCATTTCCATGTGCATTTCTTTTTTTCATTCCTAGAAACCGTATATGCATACACCACTCATACTTTGGTTTAATAAAGCTCCCGTCTTCTTCTACGACATAGTGATGCGTTGTGACATTAGCTTGTCTCATTTGAATAGCTAATGACTTTTTTGTTCATGCAGGTCATTGAATCAGTTTCACATGTGCCCATTCGGTGGCCAAAGATCTTTATACTTTTGTGAGCCATAACCTTACATCAATAGATAGTATTCCAACCATGGGCATCACTGACAGCTTGGAGTCTCTTATGGATACCTATGATGAGTTTGCGGCAGAAGTCCACTGGGATCCTGTAGCATTCAACCGATATTCGCTCCCATAGTTCATCACAGCTCTTAGCTCGCTCCGGATACCTAGAGAGCCGCCTATCCAATTCTGCCCACATGTGTTCAATAGGGTTGAGGTCAGGGGATTGTGCTGGCCACTCTAGAAGTGTACCTTCCTCTTCTGTCAGATGTACTGACTCCAAATACTTCCTAACAATCTGCAAAAGTCAAGGTAGTGTTCTAGGGGGATCTAAGGGTGCAATAAAGGTATCTTTTATTCAGGGGGAACTATGCTACAGAACTAGATAGAAAGTAGACCTATTTATACTAGTTAATATCCTGTTGCAAGGAATGCTCTAGAAATATGGGCGAAATACTATGTTGCACAAAATTATTATAGTGATTTCGCTTGCATCCTTCCCGTCATGAAGAAACCTATTATCTTGTTTTTCTTGAAGCCTCAAAGACGGCAAGTGTCACGAACAGCAAGCAATGTCTAGCTCATGAATTGATGAATGACTTTTGTCTGATTCGAATCTGAAAAAGATCACGTGTGCTTGATTAATTTGTTCCGCTCATTTCCTTCACTCATTCCTCCATGCATAGTTTGCCTGTCAAGCCAAGTCGCGTCTCCTAGTTTTCTAGCTCCGTGAATAGCTCCAAGGATTCTGGAAGAGCTATAAACCAATAACCAAGACTTATAGTGCCAAGGAACCTGGAAATAAGATTGCACCAGATATCTTCCTCGGATCCTGTGTATTAAGTTAACTCAACACTTGGAGTTCCGCATATGGTAAAAGTCCTTAGGAAATATTTGAGTAAGCTTTATTTAGAGTTCTTGAAGCGCGTCTCCGCTTCAGTCAAACAAGTATAAATATGATAGATTTGTAACATAGTAAACCTCAGTCTGCAAT